TTCAAAGAACTGAAAGCAAGGATGACGGCTCTGATGAATGACGAGTCGCAGCAAAAGCACCTGGTGCAAATGGAGTGGCTTATGGCAGAGCCAGTTAGCTGGTGCTTTCTTCGCTGGGATGCCAACGCGGGCAAGCATCGCAAAGATGAGAGCAAGAGCCCAATGCCCTTTGAGCGGGTCATGGCCATCATTGAGGCGGTTCTGGTCCTGGTTCAAAAGAATGAAGTGGTGACTAGGTTCCATCCGAGCCGCCCGGTGGAGGCAGAGATGAAGGGCAAAAGCATGGCTTTCACGGTACAGCTGGCCATGATGAATGACGATGCCCGCACTCTTCGGCAACATCTCAATGATTTGTCAGGCCTGGCAGCGACACAGCTGCTCGCAATGTCAACGAGACCAGAGCGGCCTGGACGCTCAGCTGGCCAACCTTGTGCAGAAAGGCATCCTTAAGGACCGCTCCTAGAGCACCACCGGAGCCCAAGGCCACCGCACTCTTCTGCAGCCGATGCTTCATCTGTCAGCTACAGGCGTTTTACGGATGACAGGTCGGGGCCGTTGATGTTGCTGAGATCCTCTTTTGATGTGGCCGCCGTACGCGCGGCACGCTTTTGCAGACGCTTGGTCCTTTCGGGACGGTCTGCCGTGACATTGTATTACTCCGCACGAGTTCAAAAGAATTCCCAGATTAAAGGAGCTGCGCCAACGGGCCATGTCAATGCTGGATGATGCTTATGTAAGGCGTGAGCCTCTGCACAGCCAATGGACTAAGGCCTTCCTCGTGGACAGCGCTGCATTTTTGGTGCAAGTGCCCCGTGGTGTAGCTGTGACAGTAACGCTGCAGATGAAGTGCACATGTGGTTTTCTTTGCGAGACCAAAACGCCTTGTAATGCCTCCGTGATATATAAGTGACATCCAGCAGCAACCGGCTCGGACCTTGGACTCAGAGCCAGCTTTGTTTTCCCATTTGAGCTGCTTATTGGGGCTTTCGGCCCGGGCTCTTTGGGATCATGTATGGCTCTTCAAAAGACTTGTGGTGCTTGAGGAAGGCTAGCGGGGTAATTTCACTTGAGTCGGACAGCGCGCCGTCAGAGGCGGCCCAGTCAATCTCATCGGAAGACACGGATGCAACAGTGGACTACATGGACACATCTGCTCCATGTTCAGCATCAGCCCATGACCAGCAGTGCTCCCATGACGCGGCTCACAGACACGTTCAAGATGCATTTGCTGCATGTGCTGTTGAGTATGGAGAGGAAAAGTCTACGTTGTTGTCTTCGCTTAGCCTCCGCACAGATCAAGACCACCGAGGACTTGCGTTGCGCGACTTTCGGGTTGCAGCTTGGAAAGACACCCCCATCAGGGATGAAGCTGATGAACTAGCTAAATTGTGCCTGGACTCATTGTGGGCTTCCTATGCGGATTTGGAGAGGCTGCTTAATCTTCTGCCCATGGGTGAGGCGAGGAGAGCGCTTTCCACAACAGTGACAGGACCCACCAGGCCCATGCAGACCTGCTTTGGAGCGTACATCTTCAGCGACATGTCAGGGCTCAGAATCGGCACCAAGGATCATGTTTGGGTGGTCAGGCTCCTTTGCAGTATAGTTCGTTCATTATGTGATGATGCTCTCTTTACCAATGTCTTTCTGAGTTACAACATTCCGAGTGGCCCACACAAGGACGTGCACAACCAAAAGGGCATATGCAACATTTTAATACCGCTCTCAGTGTGGACAGGCGGGGAACTTTGGGTGGAAAGTCCAAGGGGAAGCACGGTCCTGGAGCAAGGAGGTCCACCTGGCCACCTATATCCGCTTCTACCCCCGTGCTTACAGTTCGATGCGCACAAGCTTCATGCAGTGCTTCCATGGAGCGGCCATAGGTTCTTACTGGGAGCCTACCACATCAGCGATGAGTGGAAGCTTCCATCAGCCGATGCAGAGTTTCTTTTGAGTCAGGGCTTCAGGCTTAAAAGCCGTGTAGCTGTTACCAAGGCACCCTGCCGATAGCTCAGCAGGTCATTGCAGCTGATCCCTCAAGGCGGCTTCAAAATTGGGCTGACGCCGCTTCGCGAAATGATCCAACTTGCTCAGCTACCAATCCTGCTGTCGTGCAGGTACCATGCTGAGTACAACAATCGTACACAGCCGTGAGCCAGGGTTATAGCTTGTAGAATGCGCGGGGGCGTTGAAGCTAGTTCAATGCATGTACAGGCGCTTGAACATATTGCTCATGGGGGCTGTCGGCCCGGATATGTCCACTACTGGCAATAGCCTGGAGTTAATATTTTTCACGTTTGCTTAAAGCATATCGTGTGCCGTTGCTGTCCAAGATGATGGCCGGCTGCAGCCCAAGGAGGCTACGCAAGGACAATCGGACATTGTTCGCGCTTCGAGAGAGTAGTAATAGTAGTAGTAGTAGTAGTAGTAGTAGTAGTAGGAGTAGCAGTAGCAGTAGCAGTAGCAGTAGCAGTATCAGTAGCCTTGAATCCGCGTCGTCTGGGCGAATCGGCTCACGCGCTAAGCAGAGGCTGGGTGCGCAAATCGGTTGCTTGGCCAGGAACCTTGGACCAGTTCGCTTCCGGAGAGCCGTGTGAAAGCATGGACCAAGACGGTGCTCTGCAGGTGGGTTTGGAAGCACTCCCAAAACACATAACAGGCTTTGTGCTGCATGTTATCGCTTTGAAGACCTTTGTGCACGCAGTTGCGTGTCGTACATTGGAAGGTGATTGCGGCGATGCTCCAAGACATCTCCACCTCCTGCATCACAAGCTACTTTGACAGAAAGGAGTCGTCTCAGCTTGCATGAGCACAGACATGCATGCGCCCGATTCCAAATGCAAAAGCAGCGCGCTGGGCAGTTGAGGCGACTATTTCCTAACAGAAATCAACAGGAAATGCCAATGCACTTGGAACAAGTCAGGCCTCTGTTCTGTGATCCTGCAGATTAGGTACCTGGGGTTGTCCCAGCCACATCGCGGTGTGTGCTTGAAATGTCAGTCCGCACCAGGACCATTATGCTCTGCTATGGGACCTGTCTGAGCTCAAGCAACGAGAAAGGTGGAAGAGACGAAGTCCGATTACTTGCGAGCCTAGTGTGTGAAGAGATCGGCCTCTCTTTACGTGTCTTCGTACAGACGCTGGTGCGTGTTTGGACATGGCACCGGGAAACCAGAGTTTCTTGCGATTCTTTCCAGTTTGAAGTGCCCTTTTTAGTCTTGCAAGCAGCTCTGGGGTATCGGTTTCCCGGCAAAGCTGATAGTTGTAAAGGCAAGGCATCTTTGACCAGCTTTTGCGGTACCATCGAGTGGTTTCTAAATTATTCGCTTATGTCAAATAGTCGAAAAGCAAACATTCACGATGCATCGAAGGCAAGTCGAACCTGCTGACTTATCAAGATTTCAGAATCAGTTTTCGCGCGCCGATGAAGATCTCGAGACATTCCGTTGCGCATGGACCAAAGCCCGCGCCTTTCGTTTGAGATCTCTGCTTTTCTGCAGACGGCTAGCAATTTGTAGATGAGTGCCAGGCAGATGCTGCACAACATGGATGACGGCCGCGACGGTGGCTTTGACTTCGTCGAGGATGCGCAGGCGGCCGCCTTCATGCGTTGAGTCAGAGCTTCTTCTGTGCGGCTTGCACCGGGTGTCCAGGACTGTCGTAATGCCGGCAAAGACGAAGGTTCTGGACGGACAGATGCTGATGTGAACGCCGATGAGACGAAAAGCCCTCTTTGCACAAGAAGACGCCCCTACATATCACAGTGCATTGGCTGATCTTGCATGAGCAGGAACGGTATCTCTTAATGTTGGATGGGAGTGAACTCAGACCTTGCCGACGGTCGTGTCAACATTAACACTGGGTGTGCATGAAAATTCACGACACCAGGTTACGACGAAGCACTGCATTGCAATACAGACACACACACACAAACACATATTCGGCCACGTGCACAAGTTCTTTTCGGAGGGTTTGCACAGAAAAACACAGACGCTTTTCCGAGTCCAGAAGTGGCCCCCAACAGGCTGCTTTGTGAATGCTCTTTTTTTAGAAACAACGAGGGAGCACCGAAATACGCAGCAAGCTTCAAATGCAGAGTGAAACACGAATGAATGTATCAGGTATTCGTCATGGCCGATATCGTATGGTCATGTTCTCACCCATAATGCCACTTTCTGGTTCAGGTGCCCCCCCCAAACAGCCACACTCTCGGTAGGTCAGTGTAGACATGTTCTTCCGTATACGAGTTCCGTATACGAGATTTTGCAGATTTATCATCGAACAGCATCAAACTGTTGCCTCTATGAAATGAATGAAAGCTCCGAAGAGTTGATGTGCGCGGTAATGGTTCCATCGACTAGGCGTCGCGCTGGACCCAGAACACGTCTTCCAGTGTGCGTGCTCCTGCAGTTGCGTCTGCAGTATCATGCTCGACTCTGCAAGTCCTAGCCATCATCGTCTGCGAATAGTGTTTGCTTCTGTGACATACGTACATACATGTATATATATATATATACACACACCGCAAATAAGCATGGTCACAACAACAGCACAGGCAAGTTTTTCGCGAGTCCATATTTGACTCAAGATGCAGAGTTTTGTTACACCAGGCCAACGTTTAGCGATGGGAAGCCAGGTAGACAGTAGACTTCATTGAACAGTATGCTCATGGCCTGATTGCGTGTGTACTGTGCCTGAACAGTTCAAGCAATCACTTGCAAACAGTTGAACAAGATCGTGTGTAAGTGCAGGCTAGCAAATTTACAGACCATGACATCATCCTTGCCTTCGAAGGACATTCAACAGCAGTAGCGAACAGCTTTCCTTGTAAACCGAGCTCCGTGCGCACGTGCCGGGGTCCTTGCTTTAGTGGTGCCATGGCGCTCGTCGCACCCAGCCTGCCTGGACACGTGATCGACTTATTTGTCTGTCTTTGTTGCAGTTCCCTTTCCTAGGCCGTTCTGCATGCATCCATCCATTCATTCATCCGTCCGTGCGTTCTTTCATCCTTGCACCCTTTAACTTGGTCTCTCATTTTGTGTAGGTGTTCCGCCACGACGAAGCCAAAGCCATCTGGGAAGATCACTTCAGCTTAAGAGAGTTGTGCTACCCGTTGCGACGGCTATGTCTCTGCTCGAAGAAGCCTTAAGCTTTGTATCTTGGAGACGACGGCATTACCCGGAGCAGCCGAGCGAATGTGTGGAAATACCGCCGAGCGTAAGAGTTCGCTGACATGCACCAACACTGAGGGTGGTCTGTTGGGCAGCATCGGTCTGCACAAGGGCCTCTCATGCGCAAGAAGACTCCGGGTGAGGTCTTCGGAGGCTACGATCTTTGAGACGGAGAGCCGCTTGTCGTTTCTTGTCGTTTTGTTTTCTGTTACCCTTTTGTTGAAATTGTTATCGATGCTTCCATTGCTCTTGTTTGCTCTTCGCGTGACTGTGTTATGTACTTGTAAGTGTTATTGCCGCTATTTTGGAGGTCCCGGTCTTGATCTTGGTCATCATTGCTCTTCTGGTGATTATGCTGATTGTGCTGCCTAGGATGATGGTGCATCCGTGTGTGTGTGTGTGTGAACCTCCCTAGCACATGGGGCCAGAGGGTCACTCCTACACAGTTTCATGGGGTTGCAGGGGGGCGGAGGGAGTGTGGGGGTGCTCCGCCCAACGAAGCTGCC